ATATATACCATTATTTTGAGTTGATATAATAATTTAAAAACACACAAATTTTTATTACTTGCACATCTATGTTCCACACTTGCCAACTTGTTTCTTTTTTGGTTATTTTATGTTTTATTATAATTTCTTTGTTTTATTTATAATATTCTTTTTGTGTCCCTTCCTTAGCAATGATGTGCCCAACTTTAAAATTAAATCAGGCCTTTTTTTAATTTAGTTTCCAACTTGAGATGATCCTACACCTTCTCTTTGTCACATGATTATGCCCCCCCCCCAAAGGTTATGGGCCTATAAATACTTATTATATGATTTTTGAACAAAAATATCTAATTGTTACCTATTTTATTCATTTATTTTCCATTTATAAGGCTACAAAAGATTAAGAGAAAGAGAGTGTATTCGATTAGAATTTCTAACGATTTTTTAATGATTCGGAAATATTAATGTATTTAATTTTGATTTTTATGAATTTTAAAAGTTTTTAAGTATTTAATTAAGCAATAATGCTCCCCTACATACACAGTGAGCAAATGTTAATATGTCCGCCGTTTATGTGGCATGCACACATTGGTGATGTTAATATGTTAAAAGAAAACATCACCAACGTGTGGATGCAACATAAGTGGTGGACATATTAATATGTGCCCACCGTAGGTAGGGGAGCATTACTGTTTAATTAAGATTTTAAAAGGTCTTAAAAACTGATGTAGTATTTAACTTATTTAATACCGAGATTTATTAAGAATTTATAACATATGTCAATATTTCAAACACAAATCACATACGTCGAATTTCACCACAAAATTCTACCACTAAACTTACAATTTCTGAGTTTCACTAAATCAATAAATTTTAAATTTGTTTAGATTTAAAATTTTTAAAATATCATTAAATTTTTTTTAGATATGAATGTGCATACTTATACTTTATAATTATATAATGATAAGTATGTATTTTTATTTTTTATTATTTGTTTTTATATTATGTAGTTTTCAAATCTTAATTATTGGACCATTTTCCTTGTAAAATTAAAAGGAAAATGTGGGCGTGCACCGACCCATAAGACCCAAGTCACGACAACCAGTTTTACTTTCCAGTCAAACTTCTTTTTTTTTTTTTGTATGGTTATTTATTTAATATTTATTTAATTAAGTATTAAAAACAAAAACATAAACCTTCTGAAAATTAAAGAGTGATGTCAATATCGTGAAAACGACGGTTCATACTCACAAAAGCTCTCCAAACTTTCACGTTCACACGTGCGCATATGCTCAGCTCTGCTCCATTTTCTGACCCAAGAATTGGGTACAAAACTTTGTTAGGTGCATTTATACTTCCAATTTTGGTTCAAAATTAGGAAAATGTTACGGTTGGAACCATTCCGTCAGGATTTGTAATGGTAATAGAACCATTCCGTCAGGATTTGTAATGGTAATAACGGTTACAAATCCCGACGGAATGGTTCCGTAACGAACCGTGATCTAACGGTTACAAATCCCGACAAAATGGTTCCGTAACCAAACCGTAACATCTCCCCAAAATTAGTTCTGTATAGGGATTTAATTTTATTTTATATATTGTTATAATATTTTGTAACAAAAATACAAACTTTTTAAATAAAACGATATTTAAATCATATACTTTCAGAACATGTATTTCTATTCATAAATGTGCATGGCTTAGTTAGTTTGATAGAAAGGTGTGATCATATAATGTCAAAGCATGTATTTTGATTCATAAAAATATATCTTATTGTAATAGTTAAACCGTTGTTAGACATTTTTACGATTTGATAGTTATATTTTTTTTTTAAAATATGCATATTTAAAAAAAAATAACGGAAATAAAAGTATAATCCATAAATATGTATTATTAATTTTTTTTGGAAACAAAAAAAAAAAAATAATGGCTTTAATGAACCATACAACTTACAAGATTTTTTTTATTATAATGATTTTTATTTGAGAAAAAAAAAACACTCATAACTAGGAGGGTAAACGAGCTAGTCGAGCTCGAGCACTAAACGAGCTTATAATCGATATCGAGCTCGACTTGTTTATCAATATTAACGAACTGAGTTCGAGCCTTAACGAGGCAAAATTGAGCCAAACTATAGAAAAAAATGTATAAAAACCATCTTTTCGAATCTTAATGAGTCTTACCTAGTCGTGCCGAACTCGGCTAATTAATTGGACCAACTTTAAATGAGCTCGAGCTCGAACCACAATGAGCCTAGCCGAGCTCACGAGCACCTCGTTTAATAGAATAAAATAGTAAAAGCAATGGAGGCATGGATGTGTTTGTAGCAGGCGTTATAAAGAGAGGGGAGTTTATGGTCAAAACAAGAGCGCTTGGATGAGATGGCTTGGGTCTCTTCCGGCTTAACCAGTGGTCTTGTGTTCGAGCCCTGGGAATGCAGCAGTGTTAAAACTCTTGAGGGAGAGCTTTGCCGCCCTTGTGGTCCTAC